TTTCTAAATGACAAAAGTATCTAATGGAAAAGTTTAAACAAGGACCACCACCATGACCACAAAAAACTTGACAGAAACCAGTTTGTCAACGTTTTGTCCTTGCGTGTAGTTATTTGTTTGAGAAAATAACACTTCTTCTTCACGGATATTTCGTAATTCGATTATTACAATCGGAGATATTCCATCTTTTTTTTCTGAAAGCTGTATGTGAAGAGATGGTTGATCCCGTTGGTTTAATATGTGACAAAATTAACAATTGTGTCCGAGTGACAACACAATGTGGCGATTGAATTAGACGATGAGCCCGAAACTTAAAACCATTAATCCTATTATTAATGCATCTTATCATCATTATGATATCTATGTACATATATAATACTATTAAAAGATCTAACAAAACGAGATAAAAAGAAAAGCGAAAATAGAATTTTTAATATTGTGCATAGCGTATTTATATTCATTATCATCATCATCATCATCATCATCATCAACATCATCATCATTATTATTATTATTATTATAATACCTCTGAAACGGTTTCCGTATTAAAAATGTATCATTAAATACTGCCAAATCAAGATTTGAAGGTAATGTGATGGTGATGTATGATATATAAAGTGAATGCGGATTTTATGTTTCTTTCCTTGTAATCATCAAACAACGTATGCAATGCAAACATAGTTGCATGCATAATTTGGGTAACATTATATAAATAAAGCGTTAAAGTTTATTGCAAGCATGAGCTTGGTAAAGAGATGAAAACGAATTTCGTAACACGCCATCTTATAATGCAATGTACTCGGGTTAATTTAATCAGCGAGTGAACGAAAATGCTTGACGAATGGTAAGGAGAACCTTATCTCTGTGTAATCTTCACATTTTGTACCATGTAACTCCGCCGCTTTGTGTGTTGCTTCGTTTCGCCGAATTTTTTTTCATTCACCTTTAATGATACACGTACATGTATTAAGAATTATTCCCTTATAGTCAGATTATAAAATAATACATACATATATGCAATTTGTTCCTCTTAAATCTCTTGCATTATTGAATGAACTTAAAAAAAGGATGAAATTACAAATTGCGAAACAATTTAATTTATTCCTTAATATTTTAAACATCACGCACGCCCACTTCATCACACAATGATTTTGACACTTCTGACACATTTTTCCATTGTATTTTTTTCTGAAATCAAGATTTACATAGAGTTCACGTATAATTAACATAATAAAGCAATATATATATACCATATTTTAAATTAGGTACATTGTTCTCGCTTATTTCCTTTTCAGGAAACAGTCGCCATTTATTAATTCATTTCATTATCTGATATTTCCAAATATGTATCCCGTAGTCTTTCCCTTTCTTAATTCATTCATTTCTTTCTTTCGTTCGTAATACAGATTTTTAGAGATAATGCAACCTTTAGGGTTCAAAAAATTATACATAATTCACGTGTAAGTCGAAGTTGACCCCTGCGTAACTTCTGTACGCACATACATTATTATAGGCTATATTGATTGTCTTTGTTAGTTAATCGAGAATAGAATTCGAGTTTACATCATCATGTCGGAAAATTTAAGACACAATTAATATAATTTTTACATTGTTATGTGAATTTGATAGTTATGGTAATCTTTTTGTTTTTCATTTAGAGAAAAACTAAAAAATAAAGTTCGTTATTTGACCAACTAGACGTCAAAAGACGAAAACGTCAACACAGAGAGAATTGATCGACATTATTGTTTCTCGTGGTATTGTTAATTTAAAAAGATATCAATTCATTAATCAGTTAAACTTTCCCGCCAAAATGTTTATATGAACATCCATTAGTGGATACAATGATCTTTTCATAAAAGTTAAATTACATTTGTAAAGGAACCTTTTTTCCCCGCATTTTTCACCCAAATGATCTCCATTGGATTATAAAACCAAACTCTTACCCCACACACAAATTGCGCAAATACCACCCCCACCAAAAAATCGGGAATTATCTCAACACATTATATAATATAATACAACGACGCACAGATTTCCCTTTTTAATGTATTATATGATACATACGTACATACATACGTACCTTAGTCAACAACACACAGGCCAACTCTCTGATCAAGTCATAACACCTTTTTGCTCTATCAATGAACTATCTAAATATTTCTAAGTACTTAATGTACTACCTACTCACCTAACCTACCTAACGCACGCGTGAGCGCGTGTTTTTCAAGATTTTCTCCATACACACACACACACACACACACACACATATATAAATACTGCTATTCTTTTATATTGCAAATTCTCACCAATTATAATACGTAGGAGGATTATAGATCGGTTTATCTTCTTTCTCAGGTTTAAAATACCTTCCTAATTTGAGATTTCGTGCACGGACATCTTTTTTCGGTTTCGCACTTCCGTCTTCTCTCCCTTCTTTTATTATATATTTCATGTGTGCTTTTTTGATCTTTAGCAAACTGAATCTGCCACGAGAATGATAATTAATTCTTTTACGGTAGACACCTTTACCCACCCATGCTTGTTCTGCATTACCAAAAGAATAGCCAATATATATTAATTAAGGCAAAATATAAAGTATTTATATTTTGGTACGTTCTATCCATTATGTACCGATATAAAGTCTCCTAGGTTCCATCATCTTGTATCGCCATGCATGATCTCTGGCAGTGATCAATGAATTCATGATTTTCTTGGAGGCTTTTTTTGGCGAGAATTCCATTTGCTTGATTGCTTCATCAAGATTTTTTCCTGCCACTTGTCTAGCCAAAAAAGTAAGTTTACGCGGAGATATGCGAAAATTCGTGGTGGAGTATTTATGCTATCGGTAATTGAGAAAAATTTTTTTTATGATTTGCAAATCAAGTTAAAGATCTGGTTGAGATCGATGCTTGATACATACCTCTTTATGCTTGAATCTTGCCTCTGTTGGTATCGGATCTCCAATAAATCCAACGACTCTTTCAGGTGGAGGCTTCTTTGGTTTCTCTCCTCTCAACAATGATTCTTTCCGTCTTTCTTCTTTATCACTTTTACCTTTAAACAACCGTGACGATAATGACGACGATTTATTTGTTTGATCGAGTTTATGGGGTTTTTCGGTTTTTCGAGTTTTTTCGGTCTTTCCAGCACGTCGTTCACGTTCATCAAGATCAAAAATTATCGAATGTCCTTGGTAAGGACTAACAAAACGTGGCATTTTGTCACTATCGAGTTCTTCATCTCCAACTGCAAGATTGTATTTTGTTGCGTGAAATTTCCTATGTTTGGGTAATTAAGGGTGAGCTGTGTTAAATTTGTTATTTTAAATGTAATAATAATAAAAATCGTCATTAATTGCGAAGATTAGTTGTAATAGCAATTTTTAATAACTGACTTTCTTTAAGTTTCGAAAAGGTTTTTTGATGTAATTCCATCTTTAATTATTTACCTAGAAGATAAAAGTATTCTCGTCGACGCGTTTTTTAAGGGTAGTTGACGACTCGAATGAATAACAAAAATAGGAGTTTTCAAGCTGGGTACTATAGAAAGCAAACATTCTGTTACATTTATGACCTCAATTTTAGAGAACGAAAGATAAATCAGTACCAAGAGACGACACGCCAAGTCTTGTAAACATTTTTTTTATTACATAAGAAAATTAAGAAATCTCATCGTGCCATGATTTGACACAACTTCTAATCACGTGATATGAATCAAAATAAATCCATCTTAGCCATATTATCTTCGTTATTATTAACTTTTCACAAAATGTCTTTTGGTATTGGCCAAATACTTTACGTGATCATACTTGTCATAAACGGTATAGCTGTGCTAAACGAGGAGAGATTCCTTGCGCGAAGTAAGTCTTAGTTGTTGCGGGAAGGGAGAAGGGACAAAAATTGTGAAGCAAGTTTTAAGTAAGCAGGGGTCCGAGTCTGGGTTTTGGATTTTGATAAAACAAAAAAATCCTTACTTTTTTGAGAATTTTTATTTTGATGTAACTTTATGAATCATTAATCAACATAAATTTAGTCAAAAAAAAAATAAACATTTTAGGCAAACAAGTTTTAGGCGAAACAATAAAGTTTATTTGATTCTAATGGAAATCGAGATTCAGTTATATACAGATTACAAATTAATCAATATTTCTTTGAAATAATTAAATAGTTGGTTGGAGTGGTCAAGTAGATCAAGGATTTGGTGTTGATGGACCATCTCTAAAACATAATATTATTAATCTTATATCTGCCGTGAGAACATTGCTCAGAAGTAAGTCGTGTATTTGAAAAAAAGCATGATTTTTTGATGTTATATTAGTCTAATTTGATCTATTTATTAATTCTAAACAGTCCCATTGATTGGGGTCAATCTTTTTGTGATTGTTTATGAAATATTGCTGGGTTGATTGATGATATTGATGATAGAACGGTGAGAATTATTATAATTATAATGAGGATAGAAATTTTTTTTTACTTAAGACTACTTACTAAATAATATTAGTATTATTTTTTTTTAATTAATTTTTTATATTAAAAAATTAATTAAAAAAAATAATTAGAAAAATTTTATTATGTAATTTACATACTAAATATCATATAAAAATAATTTTAATTTGACAAATTTGGATGCTCTTTATTTCTACATTTATGGTTGGCGATGATGTTATTTGTAATCGATTATTTGGTAATCCATTATTTGGTAAATAGATTTTGAATTTGAATTTTTTATTATTGTTATTATTATTATTATTATTATTATTATTATTATTATTATGTGATGGGTGGGTGGGTGGGTGTGATGTAATGGAAGGTATTCCAAGGTGAATATATTCTAATTAATCACCCAAGTTATATATATTCTTTTATATATATTCATATACTCTCTAGTGATTCATTCAAGTTTCTTTTATATATATTCTTTTAGTATGTATTTATTATTTTATTTATTAATAAGTTAGTAGAACAAGGAAAAAAAAAACATAAAAGCAAAAAATTTATTTCGCCATATGCACCGACTGCATCAATTCGAAAACTCACTTCTACCTTCTGACATAAACAGAATGAAACAACAATATTATTCGTTGCGCCATTCTTTCATTTTTTTTTCTTCATATAATATCCATAATCTAAATCCATTTATCTACTTTATTCTATTCCCGAAAAAGTTAAATTAGACAACATCCGACTACCTCAACCGTTTAAATCAATCATTGAAGCTGAGATTAACCGTGCACGCGTACATACACCGCAACAATATTTAACGTATAATGGTAAGTCGACTAAGAACCAAGATTAAGGCTAGGATGATGGACCCGCGCCTTAAACCTGCACGGTCTGGACACCTGAGAAGATGGTGCTGATAATGATTATAATTTATTGTTATAAGAATAAAATTTATCCAAATAAACAAATAAACAAAGCTAGAAAATGATGAGACCGACCAATCGGAAAGACAAAACTTTATTGCTGATTGGTTGGATTTCCTTTGTTCTTTCTTTCCTTCGTCCTTGTCTTTTCAATTCACCATTTATTATTATCAATCGCCCCCTTTTTTTCTATCATCATATGTCAATTCTGAACTTACGAATCTAATTATTAACTTGCTCATTTTCTTTATTTATTTTGGTAGTTAGCAAAAACAAAACTAAAAGCAAGAAAAACAAACGAATCCAGTTTTCCTTTCATATATGTTTATAATTCGGTTTAATTCTATTATGATAACTCTTATTATTTTGACTCTATTTAATTTCCATTTTGTTTCTGATTAGTCCCTTAATCTGTCTATTCGGATCCAAAGTCGTGCTATTCTATCCTGTCGGTCGTGTCACTTTATCCTGTCCGTCAGTACATTATTGTTGTCATCTATCCCAGAATATCACTATCCCTATTTTTATCGGGTATGTATTAGGTGTGTGTGTGTGTGTGTGTGTGTATGAATGGTCGATGAATGAAAGCGATGCGTTATAATGCAATTGGCGTTTTACTTTTATAATTGAATTGCATTATCTGTTAACTATTGACTGATTGATTAAAAGCAAAGATAATTATTGTTGCAACACCCAAAAAATCAAATTCATAATTAGACGCGCAAATCCGAAGAAAAAATATACATCAGAATGTGAAACAATATCCAAATAAAATCAAATGTGCATAGATTCTTCGTCGTCGTCTCCTTGCGGATGATGCATTATGAATCACAGACACTTAATAAATATTTCCGTGGCTGCCGGTCTAATTTGTCTTTGGATAATAAAAGATTAATAAAAAATACTAATGTATGTAACACCGAGTAAGACTAATAAACGCACGTGGCATATTAGCATCGCCTAAATCCGTTCGTGTGCTCATGCTGCACAGTGAGAACACCTGCATGTGCATAAAGTTTAATAGGGCTATTATATGAACTAATAAATAGTTGAATAGAGAAAAAAATTTTTTTTCTGCATTTTGACATTTTGAGAGACTAACAAGAACAATGGAATGGCATCGATTTATGCAGGAGCCTATATGTATATATGTGTATATGCATGCATAAAGTATAATTTCGGATTTATATCATCATTTGTAAAATAACATCACGTTTCTCTCGATAATAACGTGTTTCTAACTTCATTGTTTATAGTTCCGTAGCAAAATTTTTTTTTATTTCGCATGGTCCTCCAGCGGAAAGAAAAAAAATGGAGAAATCACGTCAGAAGAAGTAATAGATAGCGTGACGCGAAAGAGAACGATGAACGAATTACATGAATTAGTGAATGAATGTATTACATGAATAAGTGAATGAATGTTTTATTCAATGCGAAAAATGACAAAAGATTAAAAGAATACGTACTACTGGGTAATCGGGCGCAATATCTCGTCTTAGTTTATTATCAAATCGTGAGATAAAAATAAAAATTTCATACGCATCATGCATGACGACATGCATGATGAGTGCAAGGTTCATTTTTTAAGGTTTAAGAAAACCAACATTAGAATCTCTTTTCTGGGGCGTATTTTACAAGAAAAATATCAAATGCAAGCATTCTCCCTAATGTACGTTGTAATTGGGAAGAAAATTTTTTCAATCTGGAAAACAAGCAAAACAGGATCCAATGTTTTAAAATAATGTGAGAATTTGGAGTCATTTAATACGGGTGTTTCATGATTGATATATTCCATGTAGAAAATATTTTGCATTCTGGGTGTGAAAAATTCTATTTAATGCATTACAGGATATTAGTTTTATGCAGACATCCAAAAAACTTTACTAAAAGTGCGATTATAGCACACCGATAATCATAAGCCATAGAAATTTACTTGTTTCAATGTTTCAATGGAGCATTAGCCATTAGGCACCGAGCATTAAGGTTGAATAACCGCATAGCATAAACTAAATAATAAATCGAGATCGATGGTCTGGGCGTGGTATGGTCCCTGTGCACGGACTTTCAGTCTAATTGGGCGTGACTCTGGATAGCTGTCTCGTAATTATCGGAATTGGATTGTATGAAATAATAATGTAGTGTACGTTTGCAAAGAAGAATAAGTTAAAACAATTGAAGCTTTGAAATTTTTCGTCAATAGCTAAAACATGGAATATTTTATGACGCAAAAATACAATAAAAGTTTGTGGCTTGCATAAAATTTTACGATCTTCTATGCATCTATGCAGATAAACAATTAATTATGTTTGATAAAATTTAAAAATTTTTGTTGAACATACAATTAGCCATTTTGTTTAATGGCAAAATAGTGTATGCGAGGGCAGGCGCATTACTTATTTTTTTGAACCAAGTTATCTCGTTTTTTTGTCTCGTGCAAACTTATATGTCAAAGTATTCAGGATACGTTGACAATGGACGAAAATCTTTTAATTCAATTGCCCATCGGTCGTTCTGTATGATGTGTAAATCATTATCGCCATTGATGTTGCTCATCAAAAATTTTTTTTTCTCACGTAACAATGTAAAGGAACAATGGGATGATGGCATATGGCATATGGCATATTTTAACGTGTAGAGAAGATCTGAAAAATTCACACTTGAGAATCGAAAATAAACAAATAAAGATGCAGGGACTCGAGATTATACCAAAAGTTTTATTATATTCCAGATAGACAAACAAAAAACGGGAATTATTGTTGTCTGCAAGCATATTTGTTTATGTCCACCTGATTGTTACCGTCAACTCTCGCATTATTATTAATGAAACGTCTGTAACATTGAAAGAGGGATTAAGGAATCACAAATACACAAAAAAAAATTACAATGTAAAAATTGAAAATAGATCAAATGAACGAGAATATAACAATCAATTCTCGTGGATCGATTTTCATTGTTATCAAATAAGGGAATAAATGGCTGTTGGGTATGTTTACAAGAAGAAATAATGATTGTGGAGTGGCATACATGAATATTTTGTAAATGTAATTGTTATTGCTGTTGTAATCACATTATTATTAATTTGCATTATTATTAGTTTACGAAATTTGGTTTTTCTTCCTCAAGGGATAATTATTGTCGCGCGATCAAACATTCATGCTTTGTTAGTTATGAATTTTTGTTTGTTTGTTTGTTTGTTTTTTGGTTTTTCTGTTCTTTGGATTGTTTGTTAAATTTTAGGTTTTGGCCATTGTTTTCTTTTAAGTTATAATTTTGCTGCTGTGATCACTGTCATATTTAGGAATTTTTTCATTTTTAATTAATTACTTTCAACTGTTTTATTTTATTCGTTCGTTTATGTTAAATCGTACATTTATTTTGTTTATAGGCTATTCTTCTTGGTAACATTTTTTAACCTTTTCTTAAATCGCAATTCTTCAAATTCTTTTTGAGTCTCTGTCTTAAATCGCAATTCTTCAAATTCTTTTTGAGTCTCTGTTACATTCCATTTAATTTAAAAAAATTTCAAATCTAAAATGAGTCAGCCAAATTATCGTGTTACGCATGTCACTTGATCAATGCTCTGAACGAAGAAAAATCACGAGGAAAATCCGGATTCAAGTACAATGTGATAGTGGTTCTGATCTCTACACAATGATTGTCCTTATCTATTTACATCACACAATATTATTAATTTATTTGACACGGAGAAAACTTTTAGACAATGGCAATTTTTGCGGAATGTTACATTTTTGTTCCATTATCTACGTTCAATGACAAAGTTCACCCGTTAAAATTTTGACCTAAATCACATCTTCTAAACTCACACAATCAATAGTTTTAGGTATAGCATAAGATATTTAAAATAGTTAAAAGACATTTAGAATTGCCAAAATTTAGAAATTATTACGTATAGGTCCTCAGCTTATCGATGATAAGAGCGAATAAAAATTGATGGTAAAACAAAAAATCCATGAATTAGTATTAGTACACAAAAAAACACTAAATCTTTCTGTATTGTCGTAATGCCAAATACACACTTT